CATTTCTTCACTCTGCTGTTGTCTTTAGTCTCTCTTCCCTACATGTTTGTTGTAATTATTTCTATCAATAAAATGTTTTTCTTCTGTGTTTGTCTGTGTCTCTTTCCTGTCCCCAAACCCAGCCGGTCCTGAGCCTGGTTCTGGTTCTGGTTCTGGTTTTGCTGGATGTTTCTTCCTGTTAAAGGGGAGTTTTTCCTCTCCACTGTCACCATGTGCTGCTCAGGACGGAGACTGATGAAGATTCAACACAACCTGCTTCTTCTTTACATTTCTTGTTTGTGTCCACAGACCTGAAACAACAACTGTTGTGATTTAGAGCTAAATTCTGCTTCAATATCAGTCAGATTCAACCTGAACACCTGATGTCAGACAGGTGGGAGGAGAGACTGTGTGTTACCTTGGTGTGTTACCTTGGTGACCGACTCTGAGTTGCCTATAGCAACAGGACTAACATGTGGTCCGATGTGTTCATATTAACATGAAAAAACTGTTTTTGTTTGTAATCAGCACAACATGAACTTTTTCTGTCAGAGTATTTCATCTGAACATCAATCTTTATTATTAAATCCTTCATATGAACATTAACAGAATGAGAGAAGAGGACAGCTTCAGTTTGTGTTGCCACTTCCTGTCGGGAACTGATTTGATTGTTTATAAAAACTTTAAAWTGAACTGTTTTCCTTTTAGATTATACCCAAAGACAATGAGACTCGTTCTACTCTGACATATAAATACATCATCCATGAAGATTCAGTCCCTGTCAACAACAACAACGTGATCCAGGAGGAAACCTATGAGTGGGCCCTGAAGAGCTGGTCCCCATGTTCCAGGCCCTGCTCCGGAGGTACACAACTTTTACAGTACACACTCACATTACACACTGTGGACGTATTACATGTTATTGTTCTTTTTTTTTTTTACAATACCAAAGAACAGCAGAAGTCGATCCTGTAGAATTCTGTCAAAAGTTCATGTAAAGAAACTGAAGGAACACAGAAACAAAAACTAGAAACATAAGATGAACCCATCAGCTCAAACTGAACTCACTGTGTTTCTCTGGCTTTAATCCGTTAATAGATACATGTGTTTCCATCTTTCTATCAGTCTGTTTTATTTGTTTGTTATTAARTATTAAACAGAACCCAAAAGAAGCAGAATAAATTTGATCATTACTGCCTCTGGACTAACTGGTTTGAAACCAGTTTAACTTGATCTCTGAGGAATTTTACCAATTTGAACCCAAACAAAGTGAATATTTTGTCTTATTTGCAGCATGACAGAACATTTTTCTTTCCTTCTTGCCCAGGGTTTCAGTACACCAAATATGGCTGTCGAAAGAAAGGAGACACCAAGATGGTCCACCGGGGATTCTGTGACGCCAACAGGAAGCCCAAACCGATCCGCAGGATGTGTAACCTGCAGGACTGTGCTCAGCCTCAGTGAGTTGATGATGTTAAAGGACCTTCACTCAGCAGGAACTGAATGGAAATGATGGCGTTTTGTCTCTTTCTGTGAAAGATTAGAAAAGAAGTAAAAAAGAGAAGCTAAGAACAAACAGGATCGTGATAGAACACCCTGATTGGTCAAGGTGTTGCAGGATGTTGTGCAGTCCCATATTTACTGCATCATCCACTCACCTGTTTGACTTTAAAAAGTGCAGGTGGTCAATCATGAGTCATGTGATCTTCAGTTTTTTGTCTCCCTCTCCTTCCTGCTGAGGGTCATCCAGGTCTTTGTATCCCACCCTTCTTAATGTCATCTAGGCCTTTCCCTCCCTCCTGAGGGTCATCAGGGTCTGTGTGTCCCTTCCCTCATTCCTGAGGGTCATCAGGGTCTGTGTGTCCCTTCCCTCCCTCCTGAGGGTCATCAGGGTCTGTGTGTCCCTTCCCTCCTTGCTGAGGGTCATCAGGGTCTGTGTCTTCCCTCCCTCCTGAGGGTCATCAGGGTCTGTGTGTCCCTTCCCTCCCTCCTGAGGGTCATCAGGGTCTGTGTGTCCCTTCCCTCACTCCTGAGGGTCATCAGGGTCTGTGTGTCCCTTCCCTCCCTCCTGAGGGTCATCAGAGTCTGTGTTAGACCAGCTCAGAGACTCTTGTTTTGGTCACATGTCTGAAGGTGTGAAGAACTTCAGCTTCTGTTTGGTTTTTAGACACGAGTTTTTCTCATTGATTGATTAATTTGTGATTTTCAACTGATGGTTTCTGAATTTATTCAACTACTTCTGCTCTAAATGAAGATGTTTAACGCTGTTAGAACATGTGAAGGCTAGAATCTGCTTATGACCAAAGCACTTCCATTAATACAGATCTGGTGAGTTGATTTCCCACCAACAGAGTTCTGCTCAGATCCACATGATTCCGTCACAACCAATGTCTCCTCTACTTTGTGTTTAGACTCTGTAAATCCATTTCATCTGTGCCCACAACATGTTCATCACTGCTTTTATTAAAGTAGTTTGGTCCCTAAGAAACAGCTGAGCCTGAGCTTAGGATGTGTTGCAACACAATGTTTGAAATATTATCCATTATTTATCTCAGCCATGCTCCTCCTGTTTTCAGCTTCATGGTAAAAAGGTAACAGTCTAGTTGAAGGCTGTTGTTGGTTGAGTAACTTTGTAAAAACAGCTCTGGAAACATGTACACACTGGAAACATTGGAGTGAGGAAATGTGCTCAGTTTGTGCTCCAGCAGTCTAAGTCTATAGCAGCAGAAATGAAGAATAATTCAGGAAACCTAAGTCTAACTATAGGATTTMTGAAAAAGGAAAGTCTTCAGTCTAATCTTAAAAGTAGACAGAGTGTCAGCCTCAYGGACAGAAACTGGAAGTTGGTTCCACAAGAGAGGAGCTTGATAACTGAAAGCTCTGCCTCCCATTCTACTTTTAGAAACTCCAGGAACCACAAGTAAACCTGCAGTCTGACAGTGAAGTGCTCTGTTAGGAAAGTATGGAACAATAAGATGTTTAATATATGATGGAGCTTGGTTGTTAACAGCTTTGTATCTTTCTGTTTGTCGTAGACTTTAGTGATTTTATTTCTCTTGTCATACTTTTAGCATAAAAAATTGAAAATAAATTCCTAAAAAGTACATTTCAGTCATCTGTAGTTCACTCTGCTTGTTTCATAGAAAACCAAAAGGCATTTTCTGATCTGGTCCCCTCGTCTTCATTATTTATTTCCTCARCACATGAGTGAATTGAGTTGTTTTTGCTCTCAGCAGCTGAACGATGCTTCTAGAAGCACATTAATATCACATTTCAAACTACATAAATACATAAATCTTCCAGCCCTCCCTCCATCCTCAGGGAGATGTGGGTGCAGAACATGCTGAGTCCCAGCTGCATGGTTGTAGCTGAGCAGGCTGAACTCTGTCATCATCATCTGGATGTGTATTATCACTTTCTGAGGGAATCCATTCAAATCTGATTCAGTTTATTTCTTCTGTGATTCAGGTTCAGCCCCTCTGGCAGTTCACTGATTTATTCACTTAGTTTCTGGTTTTCTCATTGCATCCTGACGTTAAAGGACATCTGTGTGGGTTTTGCATCATTTGATCAACACAACATTTCTACCAAYATGAAGGTGAAAAACAAACCAAATAAAAATCCCTGCAGCTACAAGAAGTCCGTAGTTTAGAGAACTTTTCTCTTTGCTTCAGTCACCGCCTAAATATTCAGTCGTGTTTTAATGGGGTTTTTTTTTTGAATCCTTGAAGCAGAACAGCTTCAGCTTATTAAACGAATCCTGAGAAATTCCATTTTCCTCATTAAATATGAAGCTGTCTGCTGTTTCCTCKAACAACTGGAGCATTGCTTTAGCAGAAGTAAACTTTGGTCCCATCTGTCTTTACTAGAGACTTCATCCTTGGATTATCACTGACACTAATACGTATAACAGCAGTTCTTTTTTACTCTGAAGATTTCTGACAGTGAAAATAGGCTGGGATTGTTGAAGGTTTCCTGCTTTTCTTCACTTCTTTTTTGTTTTTATGCTCAGTGTTAACCTATAGTGTGCAGTAGTACTGCGGGGGGAGGGGAACTGAATGAGAACAATGAATGCTTGGACACTGCTGCCATATTGGTCAGGTTTTGACAGGGCTCCCTGTTACAACCTGTGTGTCTTTTGTCCAGCACACTAAACATGTTTCCATCAAGGCTTTTTGATGCACATTTAGAAGTGTCGCATTAAAAATGTGAAAAAAAGTCAGATGGAAAGAGCAAAATTTTAAAAATAATCTGCAATTCGCTAAAAAGTTTTTATGCTYACTTGAGGTGGTTTTTGGATGATTCGCAAAGTAGTTAATGTGCAAAACAGGAGATGGAAACATGTTTGCTGAATAAATTCTGACGTAGCTCATATTTACCTCACGTGATGTTCAGCTGTTTCCGCTTTCCTGCCTYGTCCCGGATGTTATCATAAACGCATGAAAACATGTCTGCGAACAACAACAACAGGTATGTGTGGACTGACAAAAAAGACGAGAACATTTCTCTCTTTAATTCGCAAAAGAAACGTTAAATTAGCTGTTAAATCGCTCCATTGTCCCGAGATGATTAGCCTCTGCTAGTTAGCAAGTTTCACTTCCTGTTTACTACCGCAAAGCTTGTCGCCTCGTCTGATGTAATCACGCGTTGCGTAGCCTCATCTTACGTAATCACGCGTTGTGTAGCCTCGTCTGACGTAATCACGCGTTGCGTAGCCTCGTATGACGTAATCACATGATGCATAGCCTTGTCTGACATAATCACGCGTTGCGTAGACTCGTATGACGTAATCACATGATGCATAGCCTTGTCTGACATAATCACGCGTTGCGTAGACTCGTATGACGTAATCACATGATGCATAGCCTTGTCTGA